ACTGTCTAGTCTGCCCTTAATCCACATGTATTCACCGTTCTGCCGACTAATGCACATTAAAGGCGTGAAAAGGCTAAAAGAATGTTTCTCCATACACTGAGTTGGAAATTTATTTTCAACGGTCGAATCACTATGGTTGGCATGAACCATTTGTGAACTGCATACTTGAAAATTGTCCAGGATCCTAACCTTCCTTTCGGCCCATATGAAAAGAAATAGCCATTAGGACAGCATTATGCTGCAACTGGCAAAAGGCCTTTATGCCTGAGAAATGCGCTGGGTGAAGGCTCACGTCCCCGAAAGTCAATGAAGACCTGGGATACAGCAGCATTGGCATGGTAAGGACATCAAGTAAAACTAACTACACTGGGAGACGTCAAATAGAGGAGATGATGCAATAGTACAACTTTCGAACCTGTAACGGAGCTTTGCCACCTCCAACAGCAAGAATCGTATCACGAAACCTTTGCCCTGTTTCTTTGACAGCCTGCCAACCACGCTCAAGCGATCACGATAAAAACCAACAATTAACTACGAAAAGAAAAGCAATATTGAAGAGGGGGCTTAATAATTGAATAGTATTAGACAAGACAACAAGACTGTCCATGTGCAATCTTTTCTAAAAACTTGTTTGACAAGTAATGACGCTGGACATAGGTAGTCAAAGAAGAATTAATAATGAAGAAAAGATAACCGTAACACCAGCCTAGAAGATTTTGTCTCCGTCCTGTGATGGCCTTACTATGTGCTATCAAGGTCCAATGGACCTTCCTATTAGACTTGAGTTGGTAATTAAAACCTGACTGATACTTTCAGGTTGGTAATTTTCAACCCAAGAACTGGAAAAAGAATCAAACATGAAGAGAATCTACTGAACCAGTTTAACTCTTGGCGCTATGCATCTCGCAATTGAAAAAAGAAACGAATCGAGCAGGACATACACAAACATCAAGGGGCAGCTATCCCCCATGGGGGGCTTTCAGATAACATAAGAGCAAAAATCAGACACTAATAACAGAGAAACCCATATTTGAGATTTGCTGATGAACTAGCGACCTCAAACTCAAAACATGTCAAAGTAAAGCATCTCACTAGCTTCCTTGTCAATTGATCACTTCGTCCTTGTTTGATCTCATGGAAATCAATCAATTTTGCTAAGCTTCGGGAGTGACAAGGCCATGCTTATGCATAAAAAAGGGACCACATTGGCTTTCCACTGGAGCTGAGAAATGAAAATAAGCCATCCATTGAGGCTGAAAGGGTATGAAAACAGGATTTGGGACCTACCCATTCATGGAAAGAATTATAAGGCATTGTTGTGAGGCAGTAGTTGGAAGAGTGCAAGTATGCAATCTCACAGGTCTGGGGCCTGCCTGATGTGTACACTGTACAGTCATCAGAGAGTGATGGACATTAGTGGTTAAGCATACACGGTATCCAGACCAATCAGTTTCGGCCAGGCGACTATTCTTTGCTCAGATGTTCACCGGGATCACTCACTTGTAGTCTATAAGGGGAAAGAAAAGGCAATGTCGCGTGTTTATTAGTATCACTGCTTTACATATGCATAAACCTAACATGAATTGCAAACACAAGGACCAATGTGCTTTTTTAGCAGCATATTTTTATTTCAAACATGTCCACAACTTCTCGGACATACCTTGCTGTCATCTAAACCTGCATCCTCAAATGCAGAGAATACATCTGCAGCTAACACCTCTGCCCACTGAAAACCAATACATTTAGGGTTAGAACCACACACATCATGAAATAAATCAATCTCAAGCACGATTATGGATATACCAATACTAAGAACGGACAACGACTATAAGGAAAAGGGACATATTATATTCATAGTTATTGTTTCATCATCTATTACAAACAAACCACAAAGGGAATCGGGTATAACCAACAGAAGAAAATATCCTATACCTTGTAGCTGTAATAACCAGCTGCATGTCCACCTGAACATAAGTGAAAAGCAAGATATTGATAGCCGCGTAAAATTTAGATGATCCAATTAGGTATATATACTTTCGAAGAAACAGTTTGATTTCTAGGAAGACAAACCTGAGAATATATGGCCGAATCTACAAAGGAATCGATCCTCAGGAAGTGGAGGCATTGCCTGGGTTTTTTCCCAAACCCTTTGATACACATCAAATAGAGATTCTGACCCACCAGGAACATAATTTTTATGAAGCTGCAGATCTACACTTGCATATGTTACCTGAGAAGGTTCACAGACAGAAAATGTTTGTAACAACCAAGTCATATCTAAATCTATATTAGTATGATTCCTGAAGAGAGCAATTTTTTCAGCATATACGGTTTCCGATTTCCCAATTCTTTGATTTTACTTTGCTAATGTTCATTCAATCAATGGGTAATGATCTTCTCCAGAAGAATAATTCGATCTGCATCTTTTCAAAGGATTTACAGCAAAACAGCAAGGTAGAAACCATGCTTGCACTAAGGTTAAACGAACAAGTAAACTTATCGCTTCCTCACTGTCATATGGACATGATATGACGAGATATGGAGTCCTCTCCTTTTTGTTTTATCATTTCAAACTTGTATACTTAAATCGCCACAAACAGAATAGACAAAGGTGGAACCTCAATAAACAAGAGGTGTAGCATTAAGCTCTTAATCAATGCAGTACCACAAAGGACAAAGTACATGTGAGATGATTCCCCTACGGACAGGGCAATGCCTACTAGAGTAGCATTCTCTCGTCGGAAACTATTTGAAAAGTCCAGAAAGTAAGAAGCTAATGAAATGGTGAATCATCTTCAGTTGCTCCTTAACTAGACAGAAAGCTGAAGAACTTGGCTTGACCTATTCTACAATTGCCTTAGTGGGGGGTTCGTCAAGCCTAAGGAAACCATTGGCACCAGACCATGTGAAAGATGTAAAAGGGAAAAGACCAAGGAAGTTAAATTGGAAGGGGAAGAATTAAACGACATGAACATTTTACAGTTGGTACGATAGGAAAGGGGTTAATTCCAAAAAAAAGTACAAACTTTAAGTCGAGTGACAATTCCGGCCTAAACTTTTTTTTTTCTTGTAAAAAAGCGCCAAATTTAGGTTAAGTGACAATTATGGCCTGATCTTTTTTTTGTTTCATAAAAAATCACCAACTTTTACCCTTACCCCAAATCTGGCCCGCCGTTGACTCTCTATATAAAGTCACCCTTGTTTGAAAAAAAAGGTTATAGTGGTGAGCTTGGTAGATTTTGTCCATGGCATCTGTCGACAGGTGGTGATCTACAGCTTCAGATTACGATGAAATCTGGCTAGAGAGATTCAATTTTGATATATTTTTTACTTGCCGGTGAAGTGAAGGAGACGAACAGTTTCACCGTTATTCTTTAAGCCATGGCTCAGAAAATAAAACAATCAATAGTGCTTTAAATCTAATCAGCAAGTCATGTGGATTTATTGCTGAGGTGGAATAATCAAGTTGAATAATTAATGGTTCTAAATCAATGGGGGCCAGATTTGAAATTTAAGTGAAAGTTGGTGCTTTTTTACGAGACAAAAAAAGGTTAGGGCCAGAATTGTCAACCGACCTAAAGTTGGTGCTTTTTTACGAGATAAAAAAAAATTCAGGTCAGAATTGTCACTCGACCTAAAGTTGATACTTTTTTTTGGATTTAGGCTGATAGGATAGGCAGCAGTTTGTCCATAGGCTCTCATGGACTTATTATATCTACTTGTCAGCTTGTATATATGTCCTTCGAAACCACCCAAGGTAATTTACTTATTATAGTTAATGAATAAAGAATGGTCTCAGCTAATTACCAGTCAGCTCAAGTAACCAACAGTAAATACTAGAAAATTTTGGAAGACATTTCTTTTACACCAATGGTACCACTTTCTTGTACGCAAAATAGCCACAGGTGAAGGGAAAAAAAATTATGAGCAGTTCATGCCTAAAACGTCAGCAGTGTATCTACATAAGTACAAAAGGACAAGGCAAAACAAGTTTTGGTTAGTGGGAAGTAACCTGGTAAAGGATTAAGGAGCCTGCATGAAAAGTCTTAGCTGCGAGGAGCTTTCTATATACATCCTCTGGGAGACTCTCACCAGTTTCATAGTGCTTTGCAATTCCCATCAAGGTATCCCTACGGTTCAAGGGTCATATAATAATGACTCTTCCCAGGTTACGGACATGACTACATAAAACTCAAATCGCAATATAGATACTAACAGGCAAACGAAGTAACGGGGAATAACAAAACTATTACGAAAGCGCAAATCGGCTGGATAAAAAAAAAAGTTATCGACATAACACAATAAAAGTAATGAAAAGACTTACGAAAAAAACTACTGGGAAAGGGCAAATAAGCTGGAGTAATATAGAACACCACAACTTTACATATTGTAAACATATTAAAATAGTAAAAAGTAAGGAAAAGACTTATGAGCACTGGAATGATAATCAATAAAATGTAATATTAAAATGATAAAATTGGGATCTATTCATCCATCATGAAAATTTATGAATCAAAAGGTCCAAATAAAAAAAAATTACGTGGGTATCTTAAGTTAAAAAATGTAATGATGATGTACAATGAAATGGCTATATATTGAAGGGGAAAAATGATAAAACATTGACGAGGTGGAGTTGGTTACTTAAAGCTGACTTGCGCTCCTTGCTACTCTCCCTCCTCTCCTTATTGTGAAAGGTTGATAACTCTCAAAAGAAAAACAGTAGCTATGAACTTCCAGGCACTAGTGGAGTTTTACTAGAAGAAGGAATCTCTAAGTAAAGCCAAATTAGTAAACCTACAAAGCTAATATTAATAGAGAAATTCACAACTCCCATAAAAATTGTCTAATAACATCTATCACCGGCCTATCATTAGCCAAATACAAAGGCAATACAACACAAACATCACATAATGCTCCATGAAGCAATTATCTATTATTGTCCACGGTATATGCATAACCTCTTATATATTTGTGAAGTGCGAAAACATCCAATCATGATGGCACATCAATTTGTTCTAAAGCTCTATCAGAAAGAGTTCTAGACAAACTTGCCTGTGGTAACACCAGTTCTCCATAAACTTAGAAGGCAATTCTGTAGCATCCGTCTCTATTCCTCTAATGCCAGCAACAAGGCTTTCGTCCTGTTTGGTTAGCATGTGTTGAAGTGCATGACCAAATTCATGAAAAACAGTTTCCACCTGCCAATTTCGGCAACACATGTATTACCACGAATGTTAAAATGGCAAATACCACTCAGACGATGAAGTTATTTCACAAAGGACAAGTGACTGACAGTGAGCATAAGGTCAAAATCCTCATCATTCATCAAAGAGACAATGATAAAATCCAGGGCACAAGAACGGCTCAACGGGTCATGTAAAATTTTCATAGTCAAAAGGATTAAACATGTATCAGGCGTGAAACAGAAGAATTTTTTGCAATAGAACCATCTCTAGATGCAGGTATTAAAGGAGATAAGTGTGTATCTTGAGGCATTACACACAGAAAATATAAACATTACTAGCATTCCTCAAAATCACATCAAAGAATAGATTGGTATCACCAAATTCTCAAGCAAAAAATTGCAAGGCAGTTTACATCATTAATCTTCTCTCAGAAACTAATCTTCTCTCACCATTTATTGATTATTCCAGCAGTCCTGCTCCTAGCAGTGAAGAACAAAAACAAATATATATATATATATTTTATAGAAATGTCTTTATTATAGCAGAACTTCAAGCCCCATCTAAGGTAGTATCGTCGAGAAGTTACCAAAATCCATTTGTTAAACTAAGAGTCGTAGAGACCGGACTAAAATACCCTCTTATTCGATCCTTGTTGCAGACTCAAATAACAGAAAAGAAGTCGATAAACTAAGGGAAGGAGTTGGAAACTGACTTCTCGGAATGTCATAAGACTTGGTTTGTTCCCCACAGGCGGTGTTTGATTGCACACTATGTGAGCAATTGGCAATCTTGCACTAGCACCATCTCGAGACATCACACGGCTTCGACCGACAACCCCATCCATCCATGCACCTCCTCTTTTCTCAGATGGTCGTGAATAGGGATCAAAATAGAAGTATGCAATTGGATTTCCTGAAGAATCTTTTACACAGTAGAATCTAACATCACTGTTCCAGACCTGGGGGATAAATGAGCATTTTGTCAGAATACATGGACTAACAGCACATGAAAGGCAGAAACAAAGCAGTTGACTCATTTACCGGTGCTAGTCCATCTGCAGCCTCAATCTCAATTTCAAAAAGTGTCCTAGCAAGGTTGAAAAGGCCCTCCATTACATTTGGCAATGAGAAATACGGGCGTAGTTCTTCCTGGGGAATTGCAAAAGTTGTGAGGCTACATGTTCTTATTCAAATGCATAAATAAGGATCTAATCATAATGTTCCAAAATTGTAAGGAAAAGAAAAGTTAATCCGAGAAGGGTGACATGACTTGGTAAGAAGCTTGATGGCATATTCAACATGTAGGCAAAAGGACACTATAAGTGCCATAACTTGTGTACGGCGCTCACTTTGGTGCCATAACTTTTTTTCGGATCACTTTGGTGCCAAGTCGGAGGAAAAACGATCACTTAAGTATCATAACTTTTTTTTGGATCACTTCAGTGCTAAAATTTTTGAAAAACGATCATTTAAGTGCTAAAAATTTTGAAAAACGATCATTTAAGTGCTAAAATTTTTGAAAAACAATCACTTAAGTGCCAATCTCCGGCGAGCCACATCAGCTTCAGAAATTAATAAAAAAAATGCCACGTCAGATTTCCGGCGAAAAATTGTGTACGGCATCGGAGTTGGCACTTAAGTGATCGTTTTTCAAAAATTTTAGCACTTAAGTGATCGTTTTTCAAAAATTTTAGCACTAAAGTGATCCAAAAAGAAGTTATGGCACTAAAGTGAGCGCCGTACACAAGTTATGGCACTTGTAGTGTTCTTTTGCCTCAACATGTATATATGCACCATGATGTATCTTATGGCATGATAATTCAGGAGCGAGTATCTTTGTTTACTTTCCTATCAATAATGCAATTGTTTCTATCCACCATACTCTCTCTCTCTCTCTCTATATGTGTGTGTGTGTGTGTGTGTTTGAGAGAGAGAGAGAGAGAGAGAGAGAGAGAGAGAGAGAGAGAGAGAGAGAGTTTCTTAACCACACTGATGTCATATTTTGATTCACGCAGCCTCCCGCTCCAGAAGGCAATGTCCCAAGGCCTCAAATCATCATATTCTTTTGCCCCTTGACTCTTGGCGAAATGTTTTAGGTCCTCCATGTCTGAATAATAAAGGAAACACATATCAAGATATGGATTTTGCATTGAAAGTAAAAGGAAATTCTAAAAGCATCCTAATATTTGCGGTCGATGTTACGAAACTGAAATAAAGGTTCAGGACAAAGATGACCACACCGATCCCATGCCACTGATAACCCTCAACTAATTAATCCACCCCACAACCCTCACTATTACCATTTGGACATTCAGATTTGTATGAAATGCTGCTGTTACTTTGACTGCATTGCTCATGCAACATTCTACATGTGCAAGATATATATATATACCCTCTTCATATGGATATATGCAAGAGAACATATATGATGCAAAGTGGAGTGCTTTGAAGAGTGAAATTCACGGCATGCCATGCACATTTTAAGGAAAAATTGTACAAAAAGTCCTATATCTAATGTATGGCGGCCAATTCAATCCTAAACCTCTTAATTTTGCCAATTCAGTCCTAAACTTTTTGACAACTTGCTAATTTAGTTCTAAACCTTTTAACAAATTGTCAATTTAGTTCTAAACCTTTTAACGAATTGCCAATGATGTCCTTCGTGGTGTGTCCGGCACCGACATGGATAATTTTTTATTTTGATTGAATTGGCAATTGTCAAAAGGTTTAGTATTGAATTGGCATAATTAAAAGGCTTATGACTGAATTGATATACCATGCACATTTTAACCAGCATAAAGAATTATCTTGAACATTTATTACAAGAGAATTTGAAAGTGCAACAATTCCAATCATGCATATAAACAAGGGATGCTAAGCCTTTAAATTAAGTTTCTTCAAAGAGATTAAGAAAAAAAGAAAAGCTTATGAAGCACAAATCAACATCACAAATTAAAAGTTTATGCACTGGGAAGGCTTACATATACTAGGAACAATCCAGATCATACCTTGAACCGCAGCATCCCATGAAGCACTCCTAAGTTTTTCTAGGAGCTCTTCCGCTTTATCAACGGTAGCCATTTTCATTGCCATGCTAACCTGATGAGAATCATGCATCAATATATGATGATAAAGGACTATCCAGTGAGTTGTTCACCCATGCAAATAGATTCTCCTCCATGATCATTCGAAGAGTGTGGAGAAAAGAATTTGTCTCGCCGACGTCACATTTACAAAAATACAAAAATAGTTATCATTGGATTTTGGATCAAAATGTAATTCCAGAAAATTTCACATTTGAAAACAAGTCAAGATCAAAGTGAAAATATTTCCATACTTACCTACTACATGCAAACAACCATTTTGTCTGCGATAAACTTTCCTCCCCCTTGTAAATCAAAAACTCGTAACAACATCGAAACACAAATGGAGTTGGTTTAATTTGAAAGATATCTTCTGAAAGATGATAAAAATATTTTGTCTAACAAGCTTCACATTTGTCCAATGATACTTTAAACAGATGAAAAAAAGAGGTAAAAAGATGAAAAGTAAACTAGAAATATCTCATAAATAGGCTTCAAAAACCATACCTCAGCATAATTATTATAACCTAAAAGCTTAGCTTGCTCCAATCTAAGCTTCAAAATCTGGTCGATAATTAAACTGTTGTTCGTATCTCCGCTGGAGGCCCGAGTAACATAAGCATGGTAAATTTCCTCACGTAAGGCTCTGTTTTGAGCATGTCGCACAATAGAGTTAAAGCTTGGAGCATCCAGGGTGATCATCCAGGGTCCATTTTCTAGAGTTGCATTTTCATGCCCCTTGAATATGAAAAGTAATGATAAATGATGAAAGATCAAAGAGGGTCTTGCATAAACAGTGCTGAGAAAATTTTAGGAGGATGACATAGCAAATTAGAAGCTCTTCTCTATTACCTTAGACACTGCTGTTTGTGCAGCCAAACCAAGAGCTGTAGCCGGCAATCCTTCAATTTCCTTCTTATTGGTAATCAACTTTTCGAATTTCTTTGTGGCGTCGAAGACATTCTCATCAAACTTATTAGATAATTTGTCAAGTTCCTACAATCAACTAATCAATCTAAAGGTAGCGGTTGGGAAATTAAAATGTTAAAATAAAAGAATCTACTTTACTACTTTCTTGCGCATAAAGAGTAATCTTGACACAGTCAATGCCATTGCAAGACTTATGTGATGAAATCAATAAAAGATTTCAAAATTTTAGCAATTGTAATTGCTAAAACACTGGAGTTTAGAACCACTAATATCTGACCGATCATTCTCGCAACCTATAGAAAAGTGCCCTCACGATCTCACACATCATTTTCTGTTCAATTTCACTAGTCATGGAAAAGTTAACTTTCTATGCAAATATTTTTTAGGCAAATTATCCTAGGATAGCAGGGACAAGAAGATATACTAAGGAGTTCGTGAAATCCATGCTGTGTGAACATCGATGCTCACAAGCCAAGCAAATAAAATATTATATATACTACACCGAAATACACTTTGCTTTATCATTGTCACCAACTCAGAAATTCCAATTTATTTTACGTATTGGTAAAACGCTTCACACCTGCTGAATTTTGTTAAACTCTTCTCTTTTACCATCTTCCAGGGAAATCCCCTTTAGAACTGCTTCCTTTATTTGTCCTGCGACAATATAATTTTAAAAGCGGATGTCAACTAATCTCATTAGAACATATAACCACTATGTGTAGTGATACATTTGTACGCTACTCAAAAAGTGAGAAAAATGATATCAACCAATGAAAAGACCGTGATATAAATTGAGCATTCAAGACACTATGCCATCAAACTAACGAATTTTACTCACTTTCCACTATACGTTTTTGAGCATCACTCAACATCTTCCAATCAGGTGACTCTTGAAGAGCTTTAAAAGCATTGTAAACAGGTTTACTTTGCCCAAGTCTGAGCTGAAACTTAACCCACTCTTCCTGCATTACATAATTTAGCTTGTGTAAGCATCAAGATTCAAGACATAGAAAACCACGAAAGCTAAACAGAGAAAAATAAATTGACCGGCGCAGGGCATGCTCTAGCGAATCAAATACTTATCTAAAAGCAACAAGGGAGACCATCTCTTGTTCCAGAACACAATTTCTTGTAACTTCACTCATTTTCACCACTCACGAAATCATTTCAAGAACTATGTAAGAGATCTAGCCCAAAAGAACAAACAACAAGCCAAACAAATTACCAGAACTTCGCCTATCGCAGCACGCAGATCAGCGGTATCCTTGACAGCCTTAAGATGATTGATCATCCCCCAGACCACCTCCAATCGATCCACAATCTTCTCCAATGGCTCCACAAGCTTTGGCCATGACGGCTCAACCGTCCTCTCCAATTCCTCTAGATCAATCTCCTGCAGCATATACACAAACACAATATAAATGCCGAGACCTCAAACAACAATCTCAACAAACGCCGATCAAACAAGAGAGACAAAAGATCATTCATACCAACTTCTTCAAGAGAGTGTGAATCCCAGGATGGACGTGCTTGGCCTCGATAGCGTCAAAGGGAGGGAACTCGAAGTCTTGCAAGAGAGGATTGCTCTCAATGTTGGCATCGGCCATGGGCAGAGCTCTTGAGCGATAGGCGGAGTAGAGGTGGAGGAGCAGGTGGTGGATCTAGGGGGTTTTGGAGGGAGGAGGAGGACAAGAGGGCAAGTGATGCGTGGTGAGTTTGGGTGAGAACGCGGAACGAATTTGATGGAATGAAATGTGTTTGCGAAGAAAGAACTTTGGATAGAAGAGTTCACCACCAAGACATAAAGAAATTTTCCACAAGTCAAGATATAAAGGATTACTCCTTCAGCTATTCACCACCAACAGATTGAAAAAAGAACCACTTGCTTGAGAGAAATTCTTGTATATAATCAACTCACAAAACTCCTCTTACAATTGAGAAGCACTCACTTAACTAGGAAACATCAAACTAGGAAATGTTAGAATAGGGAACCTTAAACTAGGAAATATCAAAATAGGAAACCTTAAACTAGGAAACATCAAATTAGGAAACAAAATTAAACTAGGAAACATCTCAAATTAGGAAATGCCTTTGATTCAGCTTAATGAACCTTTATTCTTTATCTTCGATGCTTTCTCCTCATTGGACCCATTGGACCATATGGCTGAGAGCGCCCTTAACTTGCATAAATATTAAATGGTCTTTCTTACATATAATCAACTCGCAAAACTCCTCTTACAATTGAGAAGCACTCACTTAACTAGGAAACAACAAACTAGGAAATGTTAGAATAGGAAACCTTAAACTAGGAAATATCAAAATAGGAAACCTTAAACTAGGAAACATCAAACTAGGAAACATCAAATTAGGAAACAAAATTAAACTAGGAAACATCTCAAATTAGGAAATGCCTTTGATTCAGCTTAATGAACCTTTATTCTTTATCTTCGATGCTTTCTCCTCATTGGACCCATTGGACCATATGGCCGAGAGCTCCCTTAACTTGCATAAATATTAAATGGTCTTTCTTACATATAATCAACTCGCAAAACTCCTGTTACAATTGAGAAGCACTCACTTAACTAGGAAACATCAAACTAGGAAATGTTAGAATAGGAAACCTTAAACTAGGAAATATCAAAAAAGGAAATGTTAAAATAGGAAACCTTAAACTAGGAAATATCAAACTAGGAAACATCAAATTAGGAAACAAAATTAAACTAGGAAACATCTCAAATTAGGAAATGCCTTTGATTCAGCTTAAGGAACCTTTATTCTCCATTTTCGATGCTTTCTTCTTATTGGACCCATTGGACCATGTGGCCGAGAGCGCCCTTTACTTGCATAAATGTTAAATGGTCTTTCTTACATATAATCAACTCGCAAAACTCCTCTTACAATTGAGAAGCACTCACTTAACTAGGAAACATCAAACTAAGAAATGTTAGAATAGGAAAACTAGAATAGGAAATATCAAAATAGGAAATGTTAAAATAGGAAACCTTAAATTACGAAATATCAAACTAGGAAACATCAAATTAGGAAACAAAATTAAACTAGGAAACATCTCAAATTAGAAAATACCTTTGATTCAGCTTAAGGAACCTTTATTCTCCATCTTCGATGCTTTCTCCTTATTAGACCCATTGGACCATATGGCCGAGAGCGTCCTTTACTTGCATGAATATTAAATGGTCTTTCTTACATATAATCAACTTGCAAAACTCCTGTTACAATTGAGAAGCACTCACTTTACTAGGAAACATTAAATTAGGAAATGTTAGAATAGGAAAACTTAGAATAGGAAATATCAAAATAGGAAACGTTAAAATAGGAAACCTTAAACTACGAAATATCAAACTAGGAAACATCAAATTAGGAAACAAAATTAGAATAGGTAATATCTCAAATTAGGAAATGCCTTTGATTCAGTAAAAGGAACCTTTATTCTCCATTTTCGAGGCTCTCTTCTTATTGGACCCATTAGACCATATGGCCGAGAGTGCCCTTTACTTGCATAAATATTAAATGGTCTTTAATGGAATTTGATGCTTCCATGATGCGGGCAAAGTCCCACATCGGACAATTGAGGACGAATTTTGGAGCTTATAATGGGTTGGGTTCCCTCTTTTGGCAAGCTAGCTTATTGAGATGACTTCTTCTACCCCTTGTAATGCATCAACATGGTATCGGAGCCACCCCTTATTATACACCCACCTTCTGGCACTTTATTCTCGGGGCTGCAGACAGGAACAAGAAAATGACATCATGATTTAGATTAGATCTCATATAAAACATTACATCAATGAGAAGCTTAATGATTTTTTGTGGAGGGAAATGGGACAAAACCCAAACTCATCTTTCTTGAAAAGTGAAAGTAAAAAAAAAGCCGCTTCATTAAGAAATTCAAAAATTAGACTAGAATAGGGCCCTGCTATGAAAAAAAAAAGGAATAAGCGCTGGAATCTACACATTGATTTTCTTTTTCGCAAATTTTGTTAAACCCTATGCATCAAAAGGTGCCTATGCGGTTCTTAACGGACAAAAATTTTATCCTAATCAACCGATTATATTGAGAAAGATTACTTTTTTAGGCCAAGAGATTGATAAGGAGATATTTTAGAACTTATAATGTGTTGGCCCCTCTCTTAGCAAGCTAGCGTTTCAGGATGAGTTCTTGGGGTTAGCAAGGGAACGACTTTTTGGAGAAGGGAACTGACTTTTTGGAACGAGAGCACGTCTTGTTAGTTAGCTTGACGGACGGGATGGGAGCAAAATGCGAGTACATCCCGGTCTACTGAGACCGACCGACACGAACTAACATGAAATATAATGTTTTTATTGGCCGAGCCATCGGATTGGCTTGGTTAAGCCTGCCGGACTAACTAGTAATGTGTATGGCAGACAGTTCTGCCTCAATGTTCCTATCAATCAAGTATGCAAGCCTATACGGCCCAAAGAAAAAAAAGAAGGCAGAAGGTCATGTTACGTGACACCCACAGCTATTGGGATTCCAAATTCAGAGGCTTGGAGAATGTGTTCGTGATATAATCCACACCATCATCTGTGGTGAGTCCGGCTCAAATAACATCATTCATACTAGCATCATCTTATGTTATAAGTAGAGTCCAAGACCTCAAACACCAATCTCAACAAAAAAAAAAAGATCATCCGAGACGAACAAAAGATCATTCATACCAGCTTCTTAGAGCGTGAATCCCAGGACGAACGTGCTTGGCCTTGACAACGTTGAAGGAGGAACTCGAAGTCCTGCCAAAGTGGATTAGGCAGAGGAGTAGGTGGTGGAGAGGGAAAGAGAGGTGGATCTGCAGGGGTTTTGCAGGCAGAAAGAGAAGGAGGAGGGCCACAGGGGGCAATGGAAGGACATTTTGGAGACAGGATGGTGTCTCGCGAATCCAGGAAGATTTGGGGGCAATCATATTGTCCTCGAAATGGGTCGTCTACTGTTGACTCATCAAAAGTTGGACTTTACTATTTCGAATACTTGAACCAATAGAGAGAGAGTTATGGGAACATTTGGGGATTATGGACATAGTTTAGGCATTTTGGGATAAGAGTTTGATTTGAGAAATTTGGAGATTGAGTTCAGATATTTTCAAACAACAATGCCCTCATCCGTGGAGGGAATAACGGCATGTGGCCGTCCGAGCAAGATTTGTGCGGCTGATGAGAGTTGGGTCAATTGAGACGAAGTAACCAACTTACGAGTTAATTCGGAACAAACTCCACTCTCCAAACAATTTGAAGTAAATGCCCCTGGTTTTTTGAATTATCACCTTTTTTTTAGCCGGACTTTTTCTTTCGTGCTTATTTGTACATAAATTAATGTATACTGATTTCAATCACAATATTTGAAATCGTGTGTCTATTTTATGAATTTTATTCTCGAACCCACTTTTTCATGATTTAATAAATGTTCTTACGGCATGTTTAGGACAAAAAAATAAAATGAAATAATAAATAGAAATTAGCATCACAAATTTTACGTATTATAGGTGCCAAGGAGGGAAATGGGAATAAAGTTGGTGATTTCTTTTTTTGAGTTTGGAAAAATATGGAATGCAATGAAATTGAACTGTAAAGGCAAATATGTCCCCCAAATGAATTATAAGACAAAACTAGGGATGTAATTGAAATAGTTGTAACTTAGCCTAGGAATGGCATGGCTCGCCGTCCTGCCTCCATTCGAAGACGATTCCTGTACCAAAAGACACCATTAACATCTAGGTATGTTTCTACTACTATATCATCATCATCATCATCATCATCATCATCACACATGATGCTAGGCTTTTTATTTAGCATGTCATATGAGATGGAAGATCTACTTTTATGTGGCATGATGAATGCCATCCCCTTGGCCCTCTGCTCAACCACTTAACTAGTAGAATTATCTATGCTTCTCCTCTATATCCTCAATCGAGAGTAGCTAATATTACATTTGAATAATGCTGGTTTTGGCCTCCTGCTAAATCAGAGACTTTAGCGAATATTCAAGTTGGTATTTGTGATACGGCCATATTCTTCTGTTGCTAATAGGGTCATTCGCAAGTGAACTCCTTCTGGAACGTTTTAAGAGTAAAGGATTAAGAGTGCCTTGGTGTTAACTTGTTTGGTTCAACCCATGTATACCAGAGCACTAGTTTATTACATGGTGGGCAACGCACTGTAGGTTGGCGACTAAAGATAGATTGATTAAGTAGAACCTGCCTGTTTCTCCTACTTGCTGTCTGGGCAATTCAGCTTTGGAGGATAGGAATCGCTTGATTTTAGTAAGTCCTGTCTCTGCTCGAGTCTGGGTTATGGTATTGCAGCTTGAACAGGTATCAAGAGGGATTGGGGACTGGATGTTGGAAGTTGATTGGGTTGTGTTTGTGTCTAACTTCAAAGATAAAGGTCTTCCACATTCTATTGTTCGAACTCATTCGGAATGCTTGCTTTCATTTATTTTAGTCAGCGTGCTAGCAATGGTTATTTGCATTACCCTACTGCTACTTCTATTAGTGCTGCTTCCGTTGTTTCACAAATTAAGTGATCTGTACAATTAAATGTCAATATTTGTCACTACTATATATTCAGACAAACTCAAAGTACAACTCGTTTATCAAAAACCAGGACTATTTTCCGTGCCTTCTCCTGTCTACAATCATTTTTTGTCGTTTTCATGCAACCGCCTCAACTGAAAACCAGATAGATAGCATTGGCATGCAACCCTCATGTACAAGCTGATCTTATTCGTGGAATACTCCCAGATAGAAAGTCAATCATGCTCAAA